GCAGGCAGCATCACAAGGAGATGGCTGAGTTTCCTCCCCCAACTCACAGCTGGCTCGGGAACCTGTTCCCTCCCATCGCTGCCTTTTTGGATCCCAGCTGGTGCTCAGCCCAGCCCAGAGAGGGCAGCTGTGTGGGTGGTCAGTGCTCACACCCACAGGTGTGCTCAGAGCGCCCTCTCTTCCGCCCAGCCCCAACGTGGTGAGGGAGGGATTGACGCAAACAGCACCCACCAGGCACACGTGCAAAGCAAAGCAGAAGGAGCCAGGCACGGGAAGCAGGGGGTCCCAGGGGCCTCCAGTCACCCGAGCTTTCCCAGACACTCACCTAGCCAACAGAGGGGATGGAGAAAGCTTTGAGGTGGAAGTGGTAAACAGGGCTGGGGACAAGGTAAGACTTTTTAACTGACAGTGACCACCCAGGTTACAGAATTTGCTCCTCAGGGCAGAAAAGGGATATTCTGACAGACCCCAGAGTACAGGTTGGGCTTCTCTGGTGGCTCAGTGGTAAAGAACCCTCCTGCCAATGCAGGCAACATGTGTTTGAGCCCTGGGACAGGAAGATCCCCTGGAGAAGGAAATGGCTACCCACTCCAGTATTCTTGCCTGGAAAATTCCATGGACAGAGGGGCCTGGAGAGTTACAGTCCATGGGTTCACAAAGAGTGGACTCGACTGCGCAGTCTGAGCACAAAAAGTTACAAACAAGGCAAGGTTGGCTTAACACCTGAAAACCAATCAAAATAATTCACTATATGAACAACTAAAAGAAAAACCACATGATCATTTCAGTAAGTGCAGAGAAAGCACTTGATGAAATCTAACATCTATTCTTGATTTTCCTTAAGTTTCAGGAATCTAGTCATAGAGGGGAAGTTTCTCACCCCAATAAAGGATACCTATGAAAACCTGTAGCAAACAGCATCTTCTCTGGAAGGAAGAAGAAAAACTGCCTTTATTTGTGGAGGACACGATTGTGCATTTTAAATATGTCTAGTTTCTTGTATGTAAACTTTACTTAGTAAAGCTGTTTTTAATATTCATTTTTATTTGACTGTGAAGATCTTTGATCTTTGTTGTGGCATGTGGGACCTAGTTCCCCCACCAGGAATCAAACCCAGCCCCCGCCCCCCTCCCTGTATTGGTAATGTGGAGTCTTAGCTACCAGACCACCAGGGAAGTCCCAGCAAAACTGTTTTTGTCTTTTTTAAACAGAGATACAGGAAAACAGTATGGTGATGTTTCCAAACGTTAAATATAGAATTACTATATGATCCCACAATTCCACCCTTTCGTTGATACCCCCAAAGAATTAAAACCAGGAATTCAAATTCTTATACACAAGTATTCATTGCAGCACTAGTCACAGCAGACAAAATGTGGAAATGACCCAAATGTCCATCAGTGGATGAATGGATAAACACAATGTGGTCCATCTACACCATGGACTATTACTGAGCCAGGATTAAAAAGAAAGACCAATGACATTTGCTACAATGTAGACGAACCTTGAAAACAGGATGCTCAGTTAGAGAAGCCAGGCACAGAAGGCCACACAGTGCGTGAGTCCATGTATAGGAAATGTCCAGAACAGGCAAATCCACAGATGCACAGAGTGGGTTGGTGGAAAGAGGGTGCAGAGTGACTGCTAATGGGATGTGGCTGTCTTTGAGGCTGATGAAAATATTTTGAAATGAGATAAAAATGACAGCTGCAGAACACAGTAAACATACTAAATGCATTTAATACACTTTAATTAATGTTAGGGAATGGTATTTACAGTTCAGACTTCTGCAATTTAAAAAAATAGACATTTCATCATAGGCAGCTAGGAAAGTAGTATGGATGATATTGGTTTATTACTCAGAGATGTCTTATCTTGAGGGGAAAATGAAGAGGATTTTGTTGAAATGTGCTTTGGATAGATGTCTTTAACTCTGAGTCTCATTCACTGTGTTACAAAAAGGCCCCATTGTGTGATTAATTCCGGGGCTTTTAAGGAGAAGTGACCCCTCACCTTTGGCAACAAATGTCCCTGAATTTCTATCTTGTGGGTATGGGGTGATTCTATGAGGTACTGAATGAATGCATTCCTATAGGCTCAGTCGCGTCAGTTGTGTCTGATTCTTTGTGGCCCTTTGGACTGTAGCCTGCTAGGCTCCTCTGTCCACGGGGATTCTCCCAGAAAGAGTGCTGCAGTGGGTTGCCATGCCCTCCTCCAGCGGGTCTTCCCAGACCAGGGAGTGGACCTGCAGTAGCAGGTGGGTTCTTTCCCACTGAGCCACCTGTGAAGCCCCTCTCTCCCTTAACGAGGGCAAGCCTTATCAACTTCCCAGCAAACAGAACAGGGTGGAAGTGATGCTAGGTGACTTCTGAGGCTGCGTGCTTCCTCTATCTGCAAATACAGTCACGTTAGGGGTTCGGGTTTCCCTGGTGACTCAGACGGTGAAGAGATCTGCCTGCAATTCAGAAGACCTGGGTTCGATCCCTAGGTACTCTAGTATTCTTGTCTGGAGAATTCCAAGGACACAGGAGCCTGACAGGCTATAGTCCATGGGGTCGCAAAGAGTTGGATACAACTGAGTGACTAACGTTTTCACTTTCACTTTCAGGGGTTAGGGCTTCAATGTAAGAATTTGGAGAGGACCCATTCGGTCCCCAGCAGACACTAGGCTTGAGGTAGTTTGTTAAGCCGAAATGGACAACTTGAGTGATCTGGAACACTACTTCATTCACTCTACCTGAAAAACCCTGTCCGTGAATGAAGCCTCTCTCCACGTCCTCATTCCCTCTCCAGTCAGCTACAATCTAGGGGTGTTCAGGGCTCCTGCAACCAAACCACACCCCCTGACTCAAGTTCTCTCCCTCCACCAGATTCCTGGCTCCTGAGAACACTGTGTCTCGCTCAATGCAGCATCCCAGCTTCCAGCACCTGGCCCACTGCGCAGTAAGTGCTTAGAATATAAATCAGCACGGCTGAATGAATGAATGAAAGACATAACCCCTCAGGCTGTGAGAGACGACATCAATCTATCTATCCCTTTGGGGGAGAGAGGCACGTTGAGGCTGCCTCTTAGAAACTAAATTGTGGCATCTTAACTGATGAACAGGCAGTGCCCCCAAGAGGGAGCAGACAGTAAACAAACTCTCAGGAGGGAACTCTGTGATCCGCTCAGTAATTACAGACAGGCAAATTAAAGCCACAAGCTACATGTAATGCTTTTCCAGTTATTACCGCACATCAAACTATTCCAAAATGTACAGGCTTAGAACACTCACTTGTGTATATCTCTCGGACATTTATGTATCTCAGGTCAGGATTCTGGGCAGATTCAGCATCTGTGGCCTGTGGGTGGGGTCAGGTGGATGGCTGGTCTGGAAGGTCCTAGATGATCTCCTAGATGGGCGACATCCTAAAGGGAAAGGGTTGGAAGGCAGGGATCAGTGGGGACAGCAGACCAGAGGGTCTACATGCGCCTTCAGCATGATGGTCTTTGGGGGGCTGACTTCTTTCCTGGCAGCTGAATTCTCAGACTCGGTACCTCAAGAGAACCGGGGGGAGCTGGTGACCTTTTGTGTCCGAGCCTCAGAAATCCCAGCGCCAGGACTTCCCTGGTGGCCCAGTGGTTAGGATCCCAAGTTTCCAATGCAGGGGACGTGGGGCTGATCCCTGGTCAGGGAACTAAGATACCACATGCACCACGTGGCCATGCCAAAAAATTAAACAATAAAATAGATAAGCAACACAGACCTACTGCATAGCTCAGATAACTAAAAAAAGAAAAAGAAAGCAAAGGAGAAAAAAAGAAGAAATCCCAGTGCCACTTCTGCTTTCTTATAGAGGTCGAGGCAGGCATGTGTCCACCTACATTAAAGGGGAGCAGACACTGACCTCACCTCTCAATGGGAAAAGGGTCAGTGACTGTGGGGGGGGTCACATTTCAGAAGTGCCACAAACACCTACTGAAGTAGCAAGGAAGGAGGAGAGGGAAGGAGTGGGGCTTCAGGAAAAATCAGCCCTCCAACACCTTGACCTTGGACTTCCAGCCTCCAGAAGGTGATACAATAAACAACCTGTTACTTAAGGTGCCCACTCTGTCTTAGTCAGTTTGGGCTGATAAAACAAAATACCACAGACCCCTATTATAAACAATAGAAATCTATTTTTCACGGGAAAACTGAGAAGTCCAAAATCAGGGTGCCAGCACAGTCCAGTAAGGGCTCCCTTCCTGGGTCTTCTCGCTGTGTCCTCACTGGGCAAAGGGGGAAGAGCAGTCTCTATGACCCCTTTATAAGGGAAATCATCCCACTAGGGGGCTTCCCTGGTGCCTCAGTGGTAAAAAACCGCCTACCAATACAGGAGTCAGGGCTTCAATCTCTGGGACGGGAAGATCCCCTGGAGAAGGGGATGGCAACCCACTCCAGTATTTTTGCCTGGGAAATCCCATTGACAGAGGAGTCTGGTGGGCTACAGTCTATGGGGTCGCAAAGAATCAGACATGACTGAGCAAGTAAACAACAACAAAATCCCATTAGGGAGGGCTCCACCCTCACGACCTCATTCCCAGAGACTCCACCTCCTAATACTATCAACTTTGGGGGCTAGCATGTGAATCTGTGGATGGACGGAGGCACAAAACTCAGCCCTTAACACACGCCTTAATGAACACAGTTATTTAATTTCATACCAGCCTCTCCCTCCTTGAACCAGATTCCAGACAGAAGGGGGGGGGGGGGTGTGTATTTTTCTCCCAGTTGTGTCCCAGATCCTAAAACAATGCTAAACCGACTGGCAACCTCATGAAATATTTATGGAATTGAATGAGGACGCCTCATCTTTGGCATTGCTATCTTGGGGGTCTCTCATATTATTCTCCCTATGTTCCTGAACATTTAAAATATTTTCTCATTAGAAAGACTTTAAAGCCCCCTATGATGAAAGCCCCCCAGCTGGGGTTTGGCCTGCCCCAGAGGTCCCCGCGGCTTCCTTGCTTCTCCGCGCAGGTGGTCCGGCCGTGGGCCCGCATCGGCTGCCGCGATTAGGCGGCGCGGGAGGGAGAGCGCGCAGCTGCGGGCGCCCCGCGGTGCGCACCTGGCGGGACGCCCGGGATGTGCCCGCGCATGGGGGGCCTGGACGTTTGCAGCCTCCCGGGCCTGGCGCGGGGACAGGCGCTGGGAGAACGGGCTCCCCGGATGCAGAGGGGTGTGAGACAAGGGGCCGCCACCTGGGTGGGCCAACGCCGTTGCCAAACAGCGGCCCCCACCGTGCCTCCCTCCCTGGAAGCCTGCTGGGCGGCAGAAACAGTGGAGTTGGCCAAACAGGTTTGGGTTCTCTGCCACGTGGTATGGATGACCACGAGCGAACTTTTTGACCAACCCCAATGCATCAGAAGAAGGAGGTTAGATCCTGCCGGGGCCAGGAAACATTAGCAAGGACGGTTGTTGTTTAGTCCTTAAGTCATGCCCAACCCTTTGCCACCCCACAAACTATAGCTCGCCAGGTCCCTCTTGGCCATTGGATTTCCCAAGCAAGAATACTGGGAGTGAGTTGCCATTTTCTTCTCCAGGGAATCTTCCCTACCCAGGGATCTAACCCAAGTCTCCTGCATTGGCAGGCAGATTCTTTACCCCTGAGCCACCTGGGAAGCCCTAGGCAGGGTGGAGGTGTGGTTAAAATGGGCTTCCTGGAGTGACCTCTTTATTCACTGCCACTCAGATTTATTGAGCGCCTACTGTGTGCTGCTAGAAACTGGGTCACAGCAGTGAACACAAACAACCAAACTCCCTGACTTGTCTGGACTGGCATGGTAAGCAGGCAGACTGATACACACCATAAATATGCAAATGATACAGGACCTTAGGTAGCAAACTGAAATGTGCTGTGGGAAATGAAATAGAGCGAGGTGGGACTTCCCGGGCAGGGCAGGGGGCTGGGGTGGGGGTGGGGGGCGCCAGTTCTATTCCTGGTCAGGGAACTAAGACCCCACATAGAGGCCAAAAAATAATAAAAACAGAGCAAGGTCGGGGGCCTAGGAGGAGGGTTGCTGAGACTGTAGATACTCCTATCAATGGTTTTGAGCTACCCAGTGGAGACACAGAGTAGAAAACTGGAAGGAGGTGGGCAGGTCCACACCACTGTGTGGTATTTCTGCCAAGCAGATTCAGAGGCATAAGTCACCTTGAAAGATAGACAACTTTCACAATACTCAGTGAACAATTAGGAGGTGATGAGTTTTTGAGTGTCACCTTTGTTTTTTATTGGGCTTCCCTCGTGGCTCAGCTGCCTGCAACTCGGGAGACCTGGGTTCAGTCCCTGGGTTGGGAAGATCCCCTGGAGAAGGGAAAGGCTACCCACTCCAGTATTCTGGCCTGGGGTTGCAAGGAGTTGGACACGACTGAGCAACCTTCACTTTTGTTTTTATATGCTTTCTTAAGTGTTAAATCTTTGTTTTAATGTCCAATACTGGGTGGGTTTAATCTCTGGTTGTCAAAAATTTTGACAATTTAACAGCTCTTTTTTTTTTTGGCTGTGCCGGGTCTTAGTTGGGGCATGCAGGATCTTTGTTGTTGCATGTGGGATCTAGTTCCCTGAGCAGGGATCAAACCTGGGCCCCCTGTATTGGGAGTGCAGAGTCTTAGCCACTGAACCACCAGGAAAGTCCCCGGTGCACTTAGAAAGGGATAAAGGGACTGGAGCTCTCTTTCTTTCTCTCTCCTCTACATGAGAACACTGTGAGAAGGTGTCTACAAGCCAGGAAGAGAGTCTTTACCAGAAATCTAATCAGGCTGGCATCCTAACCCTCAACTTCTAGCCTCCAAAACTGTAAGAAATACATGTTCGTTGTTTAAGCCACTGTGATGGTTAATTGTGTCGATTGTGTGTGTGTGTGTGTGTTTGGCAGCATTACACAGCATTCAGAACTTCCCCAGCCAGGGACTGAACCCATGCCCCACCGCAGTGGAAGTTAATCACTGGACCACCAGGGAAGTCCGTACATGTCAACTTGACTGAGCTAAGAGATGCCTAGGGAGCAGGTAAAACATTATTTCTGGGTGTGTTTGTGAGGATGTTTCTGGAAGAGGTTAGTTAGCATTTGATTCATCCAATCCAAGGAGGGCAGGAATAGAACAAGGAAGTGGAGGAAGGGTTAATTCTTTTTCTTCTTGAGCGGGGACATCCATATTTCCTGTCCTCAGACGTCAGAGCTCCTGGGTTTCAGGGCTTCGGACTCAGTCTGAGTTACACCATCAGCTTTGCTGGTTCTCCAGCTTACAGATGGAAGATCACAGAGCTTCTCAGACTCCATAGCCACACGAGTTCAGGGGCTGTATTAGTCAGGAATCTCCAGAGAAACTGGAGAAGAAAAGTTCCCAGGGACCCTGCAGGGCCCTTCCCAAATACAAAGCCCCTTTGTGTCCCCTGCCTCATCTGTAGAAAAGCTGAAGTCTCCTGGGCCTCCCTGAGTCACAAAAGAGCAGGCTCAGGCAGTCACAGAGTAGGACATTAGAGGCACAGTCTCAGTGACCAAGGAAAGAATGAGATTAACACCGTTGCTCATAATAATCTATATCTTTGTGAGTATTAGGATAATTATAGCTTGCTCTGCCCACATGTGTAAGCAGGCAACTAAAACTGTTGGCAAATACATGCTACAGACCCGTGTCAACATCTTCCTCTCTGAAAACACAGCGCTCTATTGTCAGCATGAAGAAGTTATGGGAGATGGGCCTCTGCCCCTAATCTCACAGAGTGGAATGATGTCTGACAAGTGGCGATTTGTAAGCATCTCATTTGCCTCTTTCCTGTTTATCTATTTCTGTTCCCCTTAAACCTTAATCATAAAAATGAGATCACTGGATAGCATTCCTGACTTCTGCTTCACAGAATGTATACAATGGCCTTGCCTAACCTGTTGATTCCTTTCCTGGATTAAAAGGTGTTAAGAATGAAGGATTAAAGAACTACTGGCTCTCTACTCCCAGCTTCCCCATAGCAAATCTGCAGGCGGACCATGAAGGCAAGACAGCATCCAAAGAAAGATCAGGAGGGACTTCCCTGGTGGTGCAGTGGTTAAGACTCTACACTGCCAATGCAGGAGGTGCTGGTTCAATCCCAGGTCTGGAAACTAAGATCTCAGACACAGGCAGTGTGGCCAAAGGGTTTGGAAAAAAAGACTACTTTTTTTTTTTTTACTAAAAAAAAAGTTCAGGAGAAGTCAGTGGTCAGCACACAGTGGAAAAAGGATGAAGAATCTTGGCTCCTACCATAATGATTAATTGAGACTCCCCTCTTTTTCCCTTTAAAAATTGTCATGGCTGAGCAGAATCTGCAGAGTTGGGCTCTAGACATAAGTTAAACTTCTTCCCAAACTGCTGGCTTTTCTCAATAAACCATCTTTCCTTTCTACTGACACTTGCCACTAGATATTGGCTTTTGAGTGGCCAGCAGCCAAATCCTGAGTTTGGTAATGTAATATGTGTGTGTGTGTGTAGATATGAATATGGATATAATATGCATATAGCCATTGGGTTCCATTTCTCTGGAAAAGTGAACGTCACTCAGTCGTGTCCAACTCTCTACAACCAGTAGACTGCAGCCCACCAGGCTCCTCTGTCCATGGAATTCTCCAGGCAAGAATACTGGAGTGGGCTGCCATTTCCTTCTCCAGTTTCTCTGGAGATTCCTAACTAATATAGCTACCCAGCCTGTGGTATTTATTACAATACCCTGAATTGGTCAAAACATAGTATTTCACTAAGATTCAGGGATCAGAATGCCAATGGTGCCAGGGAGGACACCCACTAAGCCTTAGGTCAAGGAATCATCCAGCAAGACCTGAAGTCTCAGCTGAGACCTGAAGAAGGCCCACGGAGTAGCCAAGTGAAGAAGGTATGGAACAGTATTCCAAGCAGAGGGAACAGCACACACAAAAGTCGGGAGTGTAGAGAACAGCATGCATTTCTTGAACATTCCTGGACATGGCAACTTCCTAATTTTTCCCATTATCCTCAATAACCCTGGGGCAGGCAGCAGCAAAATGGAAGTCAAACAGTGCTGGAGGTAAGGGTCTGTCTTTGAGTGTGGGGTTCGGCCTTCACAGGGTTGTCCACCTGAGCAGCCATCTGGGACCCCTCACTCAGAAGGGCCTGATGCTTATTTAATGCCCTGCTGTCTTTGTTGGGGAAATTTTAATCACTTTTGGACAAGGGGCTCTACATTTTCCATTTGTACTGGGCCTTGCAAATTATCTCCGAGTCAATGCACATGAGTTTGAGCAAACTCTAGGAGACAGGGACAGAGAAGCTGCTGGTGGGCTGCAGTCCATGGGGTCGCAAAGAGCTGGACACGACTGAGCGAATGAACAACATTGAGGATGCTGAGGGGTGAATGAAGGAAAACTAAATTTTTAATAGGGTATTAATGAGTAAGTAAATAAATATATAAGTGTGTGAATGAACGAACAAATGAATGAGAAATGAACAAGCGCCCAGGGCACGGACTCTTAGGGCCACCTGTACTTTCTGCTCTCCAAATCTACCCACTCCGACTCACTTTCCTGCCTCTCCTGAGCGCCCCCTGCCAGTGAGAGGTTTAGCCTCGCGAAGCCCAAATCGGACCACTCGCCTGGCTTCGCCTTCGTTCTGGCTTCTGGTTGGCTCCAAGTCGCTCGCCCTGCCTTTTATGGAATGTAGTCCTCTGGCTGGCGTCAGCGTTTCCTGTCGGCTCAGGCACTGACAGCCACAGGAAGTACATAGCCAAACTTCCCTGGGTCCCACAAGCCATTGCGATAGCATTGGATGACGGGAGTCGTAGTCCTTGAGCAGCCAGTTTCCGTCACAATTGGCTGGGATTGGAACTGCTATTCCCGCCATGCATCGTGCTCCCACTTCGCCGCGGCTGGCCCGCAGCATTCTGGGAGTTGTAGTTTTACCACCTTACAGTTCCTCTTCTGTCCCACGGAATGTGCCCGCTTAGAGAACTACATTTCCCTGCACATTTCCATACTCCAACGGAAACAGGTCGCGGCAGCCATTTTGTTCCGCCCCAGAACCACCTAAGATGGCGGTGGGGGAGACGGTGAAGGTTGCCGCCTGCCCCTCGGGGCGCTAGTCCGCCGTCCCCCGGCCCCCTCGTCCCCCGGCGGCCGGCCCATGGCCTGGCGGAGGCCCAGATCATGGACCTCCACACCGCCGTGTACAATGCCGCCCGCGACGGCAAGCTGCAGCTCCTTCAGAAGCTGCTCAGCGGCCGGAGCCGGGAGGAGCTGGAAGAGCTGACGGGCGAGGTGGCCAGCGGGGGTACGCCGCTGCTCATCGCCGCCCGTTACGGCCACCTGGACGTAGTCGAGTACCTGGTGGACCGGTGCGGCGCTAGTGTGGAGGCGGGCGGCTCGGTGCACTTCGATGGCGAGATCATCGAGGGCGCGCCGCCGCTGTGGGCCGCCTCGGCCGCCGGCCACTTGGACGTGGTGCGGAGCCTGCTGCGCCGCGGGGCCTCGGTGAACCGCACCACGCGTACCAACTCGACGCCTCTGCGCGCCGCCTGCTTCGACGGGCACCTGGAGGTGGTGCGCTATTTGGTGGGCGAGCACCAGGCGGACCTGGAGGTGGCCAACCGGCACGGGCACACGTGCCTCATGATCTCCTGTTACAAGGGCCACCGCGAGATCGCCCGCTACCTGCTGGAGCAGGGCGCCCAGGTGAACCGGCGCAGCGCCAAGGGCAACACAGCCCTGCATGACTGCGCCGAGTCCGGCAGCCTGGAGATTCTGCAGCTGCTGCTCGGCTGCAACGCCCGCATGGAGCGTGATGGCTACGGCATGACACCGTTGCTGGCGGCCAGCGTGACGGGCCACACCAACATCGTGGAGTACCTCATTCAGGAGCAGCCTGCTGGGGACGAGCAGGCGCAGCCCGGGCTGGCCAGGGCGCAGCCCCAGGGCGCCCGCTCGTCCCCCGAGGAACCCCCGAGCGGTGAATCGTACGAGAGCTGCTGCCCCACCAGCAGGGAAGCCGCCGTGGAAGCCTTGGAGCTGCTGGGAGCCACCTACGTGGATAAGAAGCGGGATCTGCTCGGGGCCCTGAAACACTGGAGACGGGCCATGGAGCTGCGGCACCAGGGGGGCGAGTATCTGCCCAAACCGGAGCCCCCGCAACTTGTCCTGGCCTATGACTACTCGAGGGAGGTGAACACCACCGAGGAACTGGAGGCGCTCATCACCGACCCGGATGAGATGCGAATGCAGGCCCTGCTGATCCGAGAGCGCATCCTGGGTCCTTCCCACCCAGACACGTCCTACTACATCCGCTACCGGGGCGCAGTGTACGCCGACTCGGGCAACTTCGAGCGCTGCATCCGCCTGTGGAAGTACGCACTGGACATGCAGCAAAACAATTTGGAGCCTCTGAGTCCCATGACGGCCAGCAGTTTCCTGTCCTTCGCCGAACTCTTCTCCTACGTGCTCCAGGACCGCTCGGCCAAGGGCAGCCTAGGCACGCCCATCGGCTTCGCAGACCTCATGGGGGTGCTGTGCAAAGGGGTGCGGGAAGTGGAGCGGGCCCTGCAGCTGCCCAAGGAGCCCGGGGACTCGGCGCAGTTTACCAAGGCCCTGGCCATCATCCTCCACCTGCTCTACCTGCTGGAGAAGGTGGAGTGCACGCCTGACCAGGAGCACCTGAAACACCAGACAGTCTACCGGCTGCTCAAGTGCGCCCCCCGCGGCAAGAACGGCTTCACCCCTCTGCACATGGCCGTGGATGCAGAGACCACCAACGTGGGCCGCTACCCGGTGGGCAGGTTCCCCTCCCTGCAGGTAGTCAAGGTGCTGCTGGACTGCGGGGCCGACCCGGACAGCCGGGACTTCGACAACAACACCCCACTGCACATCGCAGCACAGAACAACTGCCCGGGCATCATGAATGCCCTGATTGAGGCCGGGGCCCACATGGACGCCACCAACGCCTTCAAGAAGACGGCCTACGAGCTGCTGGACGAGAAGCTGCTGGCCAAGAGCACCATCCAGCCGTTCAACTACGTGACCCTGCAGTGCCTTGCAGCCCGCGCCCTGGACAAGAACAAGATCCCCTACAAGGGCTTCATCCCTGAGGAGCTGGAGGCCTTCATTGAGCTGCACTGACCGCACTGACCACAGTGGGAGAGGCGAACCCCAGGAGGGCGGGGCCCGCACCGGTCCCGCCCTCTCTCTGGGAGCACTTCCGGTGGCTAGAAACCTGGGAGAGCGACAAAGGGGAGGGGCTCTCCCGCCTCCGTGGCCCCCTGTCCTCCGCAGGGAGCAGGGATAGGAGTGAGCGAGCTGTCGGTGCTGGAAGCCTTCAGGGTGACGCGCTCGGAGAATGGACTTTATTGCAGGAGCCTGCGCACCCATCCATGGCTGGGAGAAGACGCTCAACCTCCCACACGCCCTGTTTGCCTGGGTTAAGGAGGGTCTTGCCTTCTGACTCAGAGGCAGATGAGTTGAAGCCATTGCCTTCCTCCCCTAGAAACGCAGAAAGAAGCTGAGAGTTGGTCCGCTCCCGGATAGACCTAGACACCCCCCCCCCCCCCCACCCAGTGCTGGGTTAGGACGGCGGGCCCCGAGGGGAAACTGGACCTGCCTTTTCTAGCACGTTCGCACCTGCTCCCTCCACCCTGCAGTGGGTAAGGGTCTCCACCCGGGGAGGGGCGGCCTGCCCTTTGCGTAGCTTTCGTGGTTTGGTGTTCTGTTTATTTTACTAAGCGGGCAGGTTACAGGTGTGATGCAGGAGTTCTGAAGTTTTGCTGCCATATACTTTTTTTTTCTTTTTCTAAAATTTTTGGTTTGTCAGACTCGCTAAATTCATTTCATGCAGCGAGGGTTTTGTCGTGCCCGAGGCGGCCCCGGCCGGCAGAGGTGAGCTTTATTGTGTTAAGGAAGGGAGGTGCCGGCCCCACGTATCCGTCCCCAGAGCAAAGGTGACGGTACGTTTCTTTCTGATAGTTCACTCTTAGCCTTTCTGGGGGTCAGGCTGCCTCACGCCCAGCAAAACCTAGCATGGTTGGTTTGGGCTTTGGTTTTCACAATTTATGAGTTAAAACCGCAGGCCGCTTCCACGTCACAAGTCACGCTTGAGGGCACAGGTACGTGGCCAGCATCCTGAGTGGCTGTGTCCAGTTTTTAGCTGCTCGGAGACCTGGATGCAGGTGACCCTGAGGCAACGCCAGGTACACTGTTGACCCACTGTGTCAGCTAGATAGACAGGGTGGGTCGAGACGGGTTGCCAATTAAGGTGGAAGGAAATCTCGGCCTCCCATCACTGGGGGATCCTGGGTAGGGGAATTGTTAGTTCCCCTGCCAGAGACTCCTCCCCAGTGGGATTCTCAGGGCCTATCTTCCATGGCCCTGGCCGCCAGCAGGAGAGTGTTCTTGGCCTGTTGGGGGAGCGGAAGGGGACTGGAGCGGACGCCCCTCCCGCAGCCTTGTCACGGGGCAGCTACACTGATGGAAGCCTTCCACAGGCGCAGTGGGTCCCCGAATGCCCCGCCCCACCGAGGGAACCAGGTCTCCTTGGATTTGCAGTGTTAGTTAGGACGTTCTTTATTTCCAAGACCAGGTTTTGCCTTCCATCAAGGCGGGAACCGCCCTCACTGTCCCTCCTAAAGCCCGGAATAAAGAGAGGAGGCAGTGTCAACTGCAAGTGCGGTGCTGTTGTTCAACCTTGTGTTAACTGGACGACTGGGAGCGGGGGATGGGGAAGGGAGTGCTGAGGTGGTGGTGGAGGAGAGGGGTCTGCCGGCTGTGGAAGACCCAGGTAAGGGAACACGGCTCCCGTCCCAGTTTATGTTGTGGGGCTTAGTGTCAGAGTTAGTCAGGAGAATGAATTACTGCAGAAAAAACATAAAACCACTGACTTAGTCGTCAGCTCTGCTTTGCAGGAGGGCTGCCTCAGGAGAGCGTGGCATGATCTGACCTGGAAGATCTAAGGGAACGGGAAGGCCCCCAACTCAGCCCTGCTTCCCTGAGACATTGTGATGGAGCCTATGAACTCTCTGGCCCAAGAGGTCTGTGCATGAACTTGGGTTTCCTGGAGAAAAGTCCCACCCTTTCCTTTTGTCCTGCCGTGTTAAATTCTGATTTTCTCTGCACTGGCATGGTCAGTCACCTCCACCCACAGCATCGTCCTGGGAGACCGATGTTGACTGTTTCCCCAGGACCTGCCTTGCAGCAGGCTGGGTTCAAGCCCTGGTAGAGGAGAGGATTGATCCAGCCATACCTGAGGCAGGCGTCTCCCCACATCCTCACCTCGCAAGACAATAGGGAGACTGTGCCTTGGGGCCATCTCACTTCCAGTGGCGAATTGGGTGGGAGGGTTCTCCAACCCCTGGTTTCACTGGGGCCCTTACCATCCCACACCCACCCAGCGGCCATGCAAATATATGGTGGTCACCCTGGAGGAGTGGGTTTCGAGTCAGCAGGTGCTCTCAGCAGCCTCCCAGGAGACACCTGCACTGGCAGCATTTACTGAACCCCGACTGGTTGGTAGGCCCCATTCTGCGTGTTTGACAGGACGCACCAAAGAGGGGAACCCATGTGGGCCAAATGCTTGCTTTCTTTAAAAGCTCACACCTGAGGGGCTTCCCAGGTGGCGCAGTGGTAGAGTCTGCCTGCAATGCAAGAGACACAGGAGACTCAAGTTCAATCCCTGGATCAGGAAGATAACAACAACAAAAAAAGCTCACACCTGAGAATTGTGACTTAAGCCCGAGACACTCCAGAGAAAGCCATCGTAAAGCTCAGGCAGATTTCTGGTGCAGGTTGACCCAGCAGCTCAGAACTTAGGAATGACCAGGTTCCTCCCGGGTCCTGACATTTGGTGGCCAGCAGAAGGCCACATGACAGCCAACATTGTGATGTTCACTGGGATTGGACAAGTCACAGCAGCCCAGGAATAGGTCGTGCTGACAGTCAATTATTGTTCAGCGACCAACTCATGTCCGACTCTTTTCTGACCCCCTGGACTGTAGCCCACCAGGCTCCTCAACAACATATGAGTGGGTTGCCATTTCCTTCTCCAGGGGATCTTCCAGATCCAGTGATCAAATCTGCATTTCCTGCATTGGCAGGTGGATTCTTTACCACTGAGCCACCTGGGAAACCTGGGTCAATTACTGCGTGCAAGTTATCAGTGATGAGACAAGTTCAGTGAGGCCAAGTGGTCTGCCCCAGGCCACAGCCAGGATGGTTACCCACCTCGCTGGTAGACACAGCAGACCAAGGCTCAGGGAGGAGGGTTTGCCTGAGCTCACTGGGGGCAAGGCTGAGCCCCAAGGTTGGCATCAGGAAGTGTGCAGCCCACCCCACCAGGGGGAGCCTCTGCCCCTCTCAGTGTCACCCCTACCCCACTTCTGGCCTCCACACAGCTGGAGTCAGCCTGAAATTCTGCTCAGACTCGTCTGTTTAGTTAAAGCCTGCCTCAGATCTCAGGGAGCCCGGGGAGCGTCTGTGCAGGTCCCCACTGAGTGACCCCTCTGGTGAGTGAAAGAACCAAGGCCTCTTGCTCCTGGAGATTCCAGTTCCCCTCTAACAACGGGGGAGCAGCCCCTGATGCCTCTGCCACACATGGAACCCGCCGCCCCCACAGGATTCCAGGACTGTCATCTGAGCAGTGTTTACAGGGAGCAGAGCGTCCCAGCCCGAGGTTAAAGATAGCACAGCTCAGGGGCTCACATCACAGGCCCAAAAGGAGATGACGGGCCAGCCCCTAGGACGCTGGCACTCGGCTGGTACTGCAGGGTGCTGACCCCGTGTCCCTGCAGAAAGGTTGGGGGGTGTGGAGCCCTTCGGGGGATTCAGTTAGGACTGGGTAAAGGCGGGGGTGGGGGGGATCCACCCAGTGGTTGCCACAACAAGTGTTAAGCAAGACCCAGCCCAGATGTGGGCAGCACCATCAGTCCTGGGGGCAGGAGGGATCAGGGGGAGGGAGTGTTCCCCTCTCTGGCCTGAGCATCTGTGTTTCTAGTAGGTTGCAAAAGAGATGGTGAGCCTCCACAGTGGACAGGACATTGAGATCCTCCAGTGCAGCCATCTCCCCCTGACCTGAGTCCTGATGTCTTCTATTAAAAGCCTGTCAAGCAATGTTCTTGATTGAATGTCACCTCCTCCATGAAGCCCTCCCAGATCACCATTAATAATGTGGCCCCAGACAACCTCTACCTCATCCTCCTGTGTACTTGCCTCTTAATCCTTAAAACGTTAACCCTGTCACCTTTTTCTTTGTTTCATTGTTTATTCATCATGTCCCTTCCTTAGACTGTCAACTACTCAAGTTCATCCCATGCTGCGTCCATAGCACCTAGAAGAAGGCCTAACTCAGTAGTTCATTAAGCATTTGTTGAATGAATAAATGAGCTCACATGGTTCATTCAAAAAAAGAACAAGGAGCGCTGTGTGGCTGGATCAGAGTGAGGAGATTGGACTTCCTTGGTGGTCCAGTGTTTAATACTGAGTTTCCACTGCAAGGGATGAGGATCCAATCCGTTATTGGGGAATTAAGATCCCACAGGCTGTGTAGTGTGGCCAAAAAAAAAAAAAGTGCAGGAGGAGCTGGTGGACACAGGCAGATGGTGTAGGGCCTTAAGGCCCTAAAGAACAGAGTAATATTTACCCTCAGGGCTGTGGGGGACTGAAGCTTAATTTCACACCAAGGAGAGACATGGCCTGATTTAAGCCTTGGGATCACTGGCTGCAGCTGGAAGAACAGATTGGAGGGAGGCGGTGGGATGGGGAGAAATGAACGTATTTCAGATCTTTGGAGGAGGGCTGGCAGGACTGGATGAACTGGTTTGAGGAAGAAGAGTCTGCAGTGACTCCTGAGTCTGATGGGCAGAACCAATGAGTGGATCGCGGGCCTGTCTAATGGAGCAGAGTTGCTGACTCAGGGTGACTCCAGGGCCTACTGGCAGCTCACAGTAGCTGTCTCGTTCACCACTGTTTAGTCAGTACCTAGGAAAACGCCTGGCAGGTCGTGGGAGTTCAGTCACTACGTGTTGACTCATAAAAAGACTTTTAGCCCCGGGGAAGGCATGTGAGTGAGCTGGTGGGTCGGCAGCTGTGACCCAGCTTCAGTCAAAGAATAAATCACCAAGAAAACTAGAGAATTC